TATGTAAAAGTCACCGAATATCCTCAGATATTTCCGAACACGAATACACGCGCGCATACGTCATGTCGACGACATCTGCCTTACAAAAACAATATATTTGATAAAAATTGTACAAAATAAAATTGTAATACACGCATGAGTATAACACTTATGTAGGTGTATTATATATTTTATTGTATTCTGTTGCTCGATGAAATTCAGTAGTATATTACGTAAAAAAAGGCGAATGTGTGCGTGTGTACGAGACTGTGCGAATTACTCGCATAATAACTCGCGTGTAGGTACACTTGCAGTGTGTTGGATAATAATAATAACAATAATAATAATAGTAATAAAATATAACACAACGACGACGTAGGTCCTACAGACACGCGTGCTCTCGCATAATATGTAGGTACCTATATTTCTATATTTTATTATTATGTACTCTATAACAATAAGACCCGGCGACGCTACATAATAATATTATTATTATAACATATTATATGTAACGATTTAATGTTGTTACATTTTATGTAACCAACGACGGTGACTGATGAATTTCGAGATATCGTACGCGTATATTGCTATAAGCAGTGTTATAATAACGACATAATAGGTACACATTATTATCACAATATTACCGTACAACGGAAAAGCATAGATGTATCTATAATATTATAACGTTTTTTCGGAAGTTATTTTGGCAATTATTTCGGTTTCTATAAATTATGTATTTTTCTTATCTGTAAACGGATGCCGTTCGCGTTTCGTACTCTGCGCCGACCCGTGTGGCTGAACTAACGAGAGCCTGACCTAACTACTACCATGCGATGGCGATGACGATCACAGTATTATTAATGTTATAACTATTATTATATCTATCACTCGTAAGTTTTTATTTACTAGAAAAAAATCATCAGCGTACTATTTTAATTTGATGTTGCATAGGTAGGTACTATTCTCGAGAACAAGCATTGATACGCGTACGACATAGAGCGATTATTGCATTCAGTAGAACCTATTTTTAATATARTTATCTTCAATATCACATATTTGTATATATATAATTTATCTAACTTAAATCGATTTTGTACAATATTTCAATTTTTCTGCGATGTATTAGCATTTTTAAACGTACAAACACTGACAATGTCCTCAACGTTATGTCTGATAAAAGCTCAATACTTATTTGATTCAATCCAACATTAAAGACAACAAAATCAGATTTTGTTCTGGTGAATGCAAATTCGGTATATCTGGCGTGAGTCGGAGAGAGGGAGATAAAACAAACACTGCACTGACGTCCTCTCGGATGTACGTTGAAATCGGTCAGAAAATAACACCGTGATTGCATAAGTATACATTGGCCGGAAACTGCATAATGAATATATACAAACTCGCATGAACAATTTAATATAATATAATATCATCACCGTACGGTTACCTATCGCGTAGCTCTATTTTTCTGAATAACTACGGTTTCAGAGGCGATGAGATGATACAGCTCTCGGGCAGCTAAGATTTTCGTCGGATAACAACCGAACAGTTCTTGCGCTGACACTGCATTTTACGTAATAATAATCCAGGCGAGTTTTCTCTTTTTCGCGTTTATATTTTATAATATTATTATTATTATTATTATACACAGGTACATCGTGGATGGATAAAAGGATATTATACATAATATATTTTGTATAGTATAAACGCTTAATCGCAATTTCATTAGCGTGATTTATTTACTCGTTTAACGATAAACGGCTGTTGTGTACAAGCGCATATTATAATATAGGTCATAGGTGTGTATACCTATGTTATATTCACAGCCTGAACGGCGTCGCAAAAATGACAAGATGATGTAATGATATATATACGAGGCAGATGAACATTTTCTAATTAAAACTCTGCTACCTGTTGTACGGTTGTATTATTTTTACAACGGCCGCGTTTTTTCTCCAATCTTAGCTGTTGTACACCTACTGTGATGCTCAAACTGAATAAAACACGAATAATAAAAATATAMTATTAAATGAGTGTAATTTTTGAAACAATTTGAAAAATATTAAATATAAATAGTTTAAATAAAAAATAAAAAATAAAAATTTAACATCAAACAATAACTGCAAATTAAATTTAAGCCAAGAAAAACAACTACTATAGGTACCTATTATATTAACTAATGGTATTGTTGTTATATTAAAATATTTAAAATTATTATTATTATTATTATATATTGCACCCATTTTATAATATAGCTTTTTCTTTGGAATCATATGGTGTCAAAATTAAGATTAGCCATAAATGAAGAAAAAAAAATATATCGAGACCAGGCAGACGAGCGCGTCAGGGAAACATAAAATGTACCATGCATATATATAAATAACTCATATTATATCAATGAAACATTTCATAACTTAATTATTTTAAGTGCTCAAATCAGGAATTATATAATATAGCTTCCCATTATTGTGAGTACAATAAAGTTTCTAAAATTACAATTGGGGTTTGTGGTTAATACTGAACACACCCATGAAAATAATTCGACTTCTGAATCGTATCCAAAGCAAGTGCTGATAAATAACTTCAAATTKTTATTCTTCGTTTCACGTTTTAACTAAATAAGTTGTTTTATTCTATTTTAAAAATCATTAATTTAATCAACTTTTGATAATTTTGTATTACCTATAGCACARACCTGTATGGTATTTAATAATACTTATGATACCTATCTATAACTTTTATAATTATAAAATACTTTTAATATACTTTTTATTTATTTAAATTAGTATTATTATCCTCTTTAAAAATAGTGTAACATAACAAAACTATTTTGAAAAATCATTATTTTTTATTTTTTTTGTATTTTTACTTTTCGAAATATAACAGTCCATGTTGTACAGTAATGAAATGATATCCCTCAATCATTTCGTCTAAACGTTATTGAGACGGAATTTACAATTCTAATATATATATATATATAGAGAGAGAGAGAGAGAGAGAKATAAAGAATAAATATTTTCTTCTATTATTGCGAGTACCTAAATGTAATTTTTGAAAATTGATTTAGCTATATAAACTATATGACAATTATTAAATATAAAGTTTTATTATTCCAAATAAAGAGTACCTATCTATTAAAAGATCGAAATCATGCTTATAAAATTGGTAGGTATAACAAAATCATATGATTACACATTAGGACAAGTATACACTATATAYAAAACTTTTAGCGTACTTTCGAGCCCAAATAGAAATACCACATAATTTATTAAACCAACAATAGCTCTATCGATCCACACAGTGAAAATATGTGTAACCACAAGCAGATTACAGTTAAAAATTAAAAAGTAAAAAAAAACTATATGTTATTATTTATTTAATTTATGTATTCTCACTATCGATAAGGTTACAATCAAACAATAATTAAAATAACATTTATTTTAAATTAATATAATTTTGAATAATAAATCATGCCATATTGGTAATATGGCAATTCAAATAAATCATAATACTAATAATTTAAAACTTTTCATGGATATTAAAAACTTTTCAATTTCACCAATTTATATATTTATGTGCAGTGTTTATGATTATTAATAATATATATGWMWWATGTATATATATTATAAATTGTATTATATTGTATATCCAATATTCACAAATAAAATAAGTTTATTTGTATCTTGAGTTTATAGGTAAGAAATTCAGTATGTTAAATATTAAGTTATATTTCATACAATAAAATCTTGAATATTTAMACTTAGTAGTTAGTAATAATGTATTAATGTATCAAATAATTTATGAAATTTGGTCTTTTGTTAAATGTTAAAACAATGTTAAATGTCTAATTTTTACTAAAATATTACACCAATAACCTTAAGACTTAAGTATAACTTTTAACTTATTACTCTTTGTATTATTATTTTCATTACTTTTAAAGTACCTAAAAGTTAATAATATCATTTATCAGTAACAATTAATTTGACATATTATACTTTTCATAGGTTAGGTTAAATAATGTGTGTTAAATCCAATTTAATTGTATAAGTAATWAACAAGTAAATCAAATTATCGAAGAAATTTCAAGAATCAAAATTATAAATTTCTGAACTATGATGTACTATTTTGTTATGTTTCGAGTATGACAGACGTGCAATAGTTACGTAAAAAACGTGTGCTAAGTGCACTGCCGCGTAAACAATGCAAAATAAAATGGCTTATCCGTTTTCTTTATGATATAAGAAATATAGTGCGTAAAAAATCGTATCATCCACAAATATATTTAACCTTATTATATTTTATGTCCAAATCTCAGTAAGGATTCGATTCGAATACTAACGATAGAATATTTAAGTACCCATCTGTTTATAAAGAGAAATCGTAACATGGAAATTTACATACATGTATAAAACCATTATTATGATAAGTATATTACATTTCATTCAACGATAAAAATAGAAAATTTAAGTGTATAATACCTATTTACTCAGTTGAWGCATTTGACATCAATTTGTATTTAAATACTTGATGACTCGAGACTTATTGTTTGTGAAAACTTGAATTGTCTGTTTTATTTATCTTACGGTGATTACAACAACATCCTTAAACGTTTAAAGTTAACAAAAAATATATGTATAAAGAATTTCTCATAGAAAAAATGTACGTCAAAAAAGACTAATARGTAGGTGCACAACAATTWWT